ATTAGGGTTTTTATCACTGCATATTGTCATATGTTGCTCATGAAATGCTCACTCCAGTGGAATATAAGATCAAGAGTCTGCGAGGCTGTAATGGTTATTAAAATGGAATCCAAACTGTTAGATACACCAAAGTATTGAACGAATATAAATTTGGACCCAATAATAGTGTTCGATAAAATGTCAGGGGATCACCAAAGTCAGTAGGCTTCATCTTCTGGAGACCATGAATGGATGTGCTAAATGTTATGCAAGCCATATACTTGCTGAGATATGTCAGTCCAAACCAACTTTGTCAAGCCAAGAGCCGAGGCGCTAGAGCGGCAAGAAATCACTTAGAACTTCTAATTTCTGAGTAATTTAACTATATCTAAAACCTTTGGTTGGAGACGGGGGGGGGGGGGGGACAGTTTCTGGTGTCGAAGTCAAAGACTGTTGTTGACACTGTTTGCTTAACAAAAAGATTGTTGCAGTTCTTCCTACGCAGGTAACAAACAACCAACATTCTGAAGAGATCTTCTTATTTTTCATGCATTCATTAATTAGGTAAAAGAGGACAGCTGACAGTATTTTAAAGAATTCATGAAAAGATAATGAATCAGACAATAATAGCCACAGACTGACATAATTAAACAGTAGTGTTGTTCAGGAAACAACACTACATATACTGTAGGATTTTATTTTCTAGTGGAATAATCTGATGAGGTTAGCAGGTTTTCGGTTGATACAATCCTATTAGTGAAGTGCATTCTTTAAGCTTAGTGTTGCTGTACTTAAAACATTCATCATTTTAAGTGTTTTGTTGTGGAAGAATCCACACGCCTTTTCTCTCTTTGATGGAACATCCAGCAGGGTCCATGTCAAAACAGCTCAATGAGACGGAACAGAAAGCGTTCGAACGTGTGTGGTACAATGGAAAACTGACTTTTGCTAGTGCACGTAAGGGCATAATTTAGAGGAGAAAACTCTGAAATGTAATATGTAAAAGGTCTAAACAATGGCTTCATGTAGCTTAATGACATAAAGTGAATAATTTAAAAATCTGTCTTCCAGACAGGATTAAGATGTGAACAGATAGCGTCTTTATAAAAACACGAGTGAAAAAAGGCAATGTCCTCTTGTACAGCTACCATGTCTCAGTCTGAAGTGACATCGAACCTCATGAAATGAAAGTGGAAATATCTGTCACGCATCAGATGGTTTAAAGTGGGCGTATGGACTGAATTGTAGCCAGGAAAACACATCTCTTACCTGATGCTTCAGTTGCAAGTACCTGCTTTCCAGTTCAGGTTGACCTTGCAGAAGGTTACTTTGATTTTGCAGTTCAGCTTCTACTGCTCAAAATAAACTGTTGCATGGTGTTGATTTAAATGCTGTTTCATTATAGAGGAACCATCTGGAGTGGCTTTACCACTAAAACTTCTCCTGGGAAGAAAACCGTGTCCTCGAGCTACAGAAGCAGCAAGAGTGAGTATATGGAACCTTAAAATAACTTGGGTGGAGACAATGAGACAATATATTGGTTCAAGGTGTTGGTCTGGTCCCAGAAAGAAGAAGAAAGAAGAAACCATTTTTATTGTCATATACATATACAAATTTGACCTCTGCATTTGACCCATCCCTGTATATAGGGAGCAGAAAAAAAAGACAGATTTTTAAAACAACTGTGTAATCTAATTGATGGTTGCATGATATTAGCTATGGGGGTTTAACAGAACCTGCAGTGAAGCACGGGAAAGTTTTGGTTGCAGGAGGGAGCGATTTGACAATCCTTGACACCAAAATATTTTTACGTGTGACTACAGCTCTCCTACTTCAGCACAGTCAGGATAACAGTTTATATGTCACAGTTCATATTCACCATTCAAACGTGAGAGTGGAATCGATCTTCTCATTGAACTCTCTGCAAGAAAGAAAATACAAAGAAATTCCAAAACGTCAAACTTCCATGTCAAAATCATCAGCAATACTTGAATAAAGCGTATCTATTTGTATCATGGCCCTCTATATATAAAGCTGAGCTTTTCTGATAAGACTACTGGGATACAACAATTCTATTCTGCTTCCTTCCACTGTCCCTTCCTCTGTCTGTAGCTGTTTTTAAAGTCCCTGTCTGCCAGCAGCAACGACTACATCCGCTAAAGCTACCGAGCTATATGCTAATGACGTAGTTCAGCGCAGTTAAGGACACATGTACCTGTGAATTGACAGGTGGCACAGTTTCAAGGGTGCAAGAAAATGAACCTATCTTTATGTTCATGATGACATAACCACATCATCAGATCAGAAAATGTAATAAATGTAGCAAATTAATACATATAAGCAAAACTCTCCAATGAATCTGATCCTCTTATTTGTCCATAATGTGCTAAACTGTGCGGATGAGGCTACTGGTGTGAAAATAAAAAGACTTGTTCCATGCAGCACATGCAGCAGAGCAGACAAACAAACACACAAGTCTTTCGGGGATTGAGGTGTCCACTGAGTCAGCGAGGGGCAGCTGGAGAGATGTGTTGTTTCTTTTGTAAACCTGCCAAGAGTTGAAAGGATAGGCCGATCTGAGAATTACGGATTAATCAAGGATTAAGCCCCTTGATTGCTGCACAAATAGATGAGAGGAAAGAGGGGAAGCCCCATTGGATTCAGCATGACTGCGTGTTATGGGTCTTCTCGGTTCACGGTGCAAAAAACTGATCTAAATATGAAGTTGTCTGATAGAGGCGTAAACAAACAGGAATGTTTAATAACCTTTATGTAAAAATCATTCTTTGTGTTAAACCTTCTCAAACAGGGGTGGTTCTCTGCAGTGGGTTGTGTTCTCACAACATATTAAAGTGTAGATATATGCTCATACAGAATTTAAATAGTTGTACAACTACAATTGACACCATTTTTCAACATTTTGGGAAATGTGCTTATTTGCTGCAGAGAATTAGATCAGAAGTTTGATACCACTCTAATATCTGTAAGCTTAATATGAAGCTAAAGTAAGCCGGCAATTAGCCAAGCTTAGCATAAAGACAACAAGGCAACGAGGGTAAACAGCTAGCTAAGCTTTGTCCAAAGTTACAAACCTCCAAAGAGCACTAATTAACACTTCATCTTGTTTGATTAATCTATAAATTGTGGTTTCATAGGGAGTGATGTGCTCGAACAATTTCTTGGCTAGACATAGTTTCCTAATGCTTCCAGCCGTTATGCTAAGCTAAGCTAATAACCTCGAGCTTCATACTTAACGGACAGATATGGGAGTGGTATAGATCTTCTCATCTAACTCCCAGAGACGAAAGCAAATACGCATATTTCCCAAAATGTCAAACAATTTCTGAAAGATTTTAGTCCGAAGCACTAACTGAGTGTACTGTGAGTGCTGCTGAACGGACAAAGTAATAAAGAGAAACGTCATTGGAGGCTTAGTCATCCGCTATGGCCCTCTTACCCTCGGTCTACGCTGCTCCATCTCAACCTCTCGCCATTCTCATCACCCATTATCCCTGCAATAAACCTTGTCTGCGTCTGCGTTTGGGTCCAAACCTACAGACCCCCACATTTATTTCCCCGTTGTCCAGCAGACAAGGCATGGTTATCTTTAAAATGTTGCACAACATTGAAAAGCTGCTGTAAAGATAATAACACTTGTCACGTCGTGTCCATGTCACAAACTTTTTCTTGACAAGAAAGTCAGATAAGAGACGAAACATTGACGGCCATATTCGGAAGAGCAGGAAATGCGAGCTGCCGTTATTTGGGGCTCACGTGACAGCTGAATTTGAAAACAATGGCAAGAACTGTAATGTGGTTTACACAGATGGCAGAGAGGAAGGAAACTTGAACAAAAGGTTTTGGTAAAGGGATCCAGCTTGAGAGCAGGTCCTCCATTGTATAGAATTGAAGAAAAAAATACATAAGTGTGGGTTCTGAAGACAAAGAGGCCGTCAACAGCGAGCAAGATGGAGAGGAAACAGGCTGAGAGAGAAGATAGTAAGGTTGATGACAGTTCCTTTCTGGAAAAAGAAGCTGTGTCTGTCAAAACAGATGGCAGCTGGTAAAGAGGATTAAGCGCTGTTACTACTACAGTTTCCAACACCACTTCAGACTGATCAACCCCCCCAAAACACAGACAAACACTGTTTCCTCTCATCCCAAGCCAATAACCCGGCCAACTCTCGACCCCGTGTCCCACTCACTGGCTCTTCTACAGCTGGGATCAGGACGAGTTGTGATTTTCTGGTTTGACATCTCAATACTACTCTGCTGCATCCCCAAATGTAACATTGTTGACAAAGTATGGAAACAATAATTCGCTCTGTTTATATTGGAGTTCATATATGTTTCTTTCAACAACTTGGATCTTCTTTTTGGTAGTTGTGGCCATCAGGTTATGGTAATAACATCGTACTCAGAGGATTCTGGGACCACAGCAACATTGCTACGACAAAGGGTGAAGGGTCAAGAAACCGAAGCATTCAGACAGCTTACAAGTCAGCTCTATTATCTAAACAGTTATAACTCAAAAGATATTACTCAAGTTCCAACATACCAGAAGTTTCTTACATGAGATGGTTTTTAATGTTCAGTTACTTAAAATAAGTTCAATATTTTAGAATATACTTTTATTTGCTTTCTTTTTTGCTTATTTCACTAATTATATCTTTGATAATTAAGTACAAAAACGGAAGTGTTAGAGCAGCAAGCTGTGCTGGGATGCTAGCCTTTATGCTAAGCTAAGCTAAGGGCATGCCGGCAGTAGATTAGTGTGTATATTTAGTGGGTGGTGTCAATCCTCTCATCTCTCTGCAAGGAAGCAAATACATGCATTTGACAAAATGTCTATTGGTGTTATTGGCACTATTCATTTTAGTACAATTCATACATGGGTCTGTTCTTTAACCATTCCATGGGAGCTTATGGATCACTTGAATGCGTCAGTCAGTCTTGGCATGTTTGTGACTAATACACATCAGCAAATGCACAATGCAAGGAAAACCCAGAGACAACACATCTTACTTCATCAGTTGGTTGGTTTATTTATCTTTAGCAATGACACCAAATGTACTCTACTGTTTTCAGTTGCTATCATAAGAGATGCATTTTGAATTGTAAACAGTGAAAATGATAAATTGCAGTTCAGAAAACTCCTTACAAGCAGTGTATGACCAGGGAAACAGAGCAGATTGTTCCTGCTCTTGCTCACCTACTTTTTTTTTTTAAACAATACACGTCATCTTATAGTTTTGAGTCTCTCATATTTACATAAATACAGCTGGGTCCCACATTCACCAGCAGAGACCTATGGGTTTTTTGTTTTTGTTTGTTTTTAATGTGTTATCACATAGTTTTCTTAAAGAATTATATTTACAACCAAAATGCCCCCCAGCTGCCTGCTGCCAGGGGTAATAACACAGTTAGAATCACTTGCTTAAAAGTCATTAAACTACTTATGGTTCTTGAAAGTTTACGTTGTAAGTCAACCTTATAGCGATACTTTTTTTTTTTCTCTTAACAAATAAAGTTAATACAGAGCTCAAGCCATTTGTCTTCCCCGTAAAAATTCAAAATCATCCAAATAAATGCACAACCCAAACATAATAATAAAATAAAAAAACAATATTGCACTTAAAGGTCAGGACAGCTTTGGACCTGTTCGGTGGTTAAGAGGAAAGTGAGAGCTTCTAGCTGAGTGCTTTAGAGGAGGTGAGGGTGTCTGTAGAAGCATCCAGCCAGTTAATCTAAATAAATAGGCAAACTTTTGTACAACATGGAGCATCTTTTGTCCACCGACTACTAAACAAGCAGCCTCTTGTGTATTGCTCAGTAAAACTAGGGAGTGCAGGTTGGAACCCTAAAGCATATAAAAACAGTGGGTGTGTAGAAAAACAGAAGATAAACCAAGCTTGACCCTGTCATGGCAATGTCCTGAGAATACTTCCTCGATTAGTCCAGAATGAGCTACAATGTTAAAGGAAATGTTTGGCTGCACAGAACGTTTTCTTCTTTTTCCTCTTCAGTTTTTTGTTCCTTGGTGTAAACAGTCTTTTGGAGACAGGAAGCAAGTCGTCTTTTTCTTCCATCCCCGGCTTTGAATGTGACTTTGCATGTCTCTTAATGTGAGTGACAGACATCTCCGTTTCATCACAGCTCCAGTCCGTCCGTCATTTATACATCTTTGTTCTTTGCCCTTCGCTGTCTCCGTCTCTGTCCCTGTTAAACGCTTGTCCACAGTCTTGTGATGAGCTGAATAAGGTGAAAGCTGTTTATAGAAGCTTTGAGAGGTTGCAGGTGTTGAACAAAGATGCGTGTGAAACAGAGCCATAATGGCAGCTTTAAATCAGACATATTGTTTTTCCCCCTCCGTACAGTTTTGAGCCTGCTAAACAAAAAAAAAAAAAAAAACACACACACCCAAAGAGAAAGGACTTTGTGTCGTACCGACAGCTTTGAAGTGGCTTCACAGAGAACGTGGTGGAGGAAAAGTGGGAGTTTTAAGAGGAAATTAAGAGGGAAAAAAAGTGAAAAACAGTACCGGACTGTCTTCATGTCTGTGGGGTTTTCTGAGCAACCCCTCCTTTTCTCCAGTACAACTGGACAAAAACTTAAAAACACGAGCAAAAGACTGACACCACAAAAATGAGAGACAGTGATCAGACAAGCGTCCAGCTCCTGCTCCAGCCCTCGTTCGTGGGCTTCTGTAGTTTTAGTATCATCCATCCATCCATCCATCCATCCATCCATTCATCAGTCCACTCATTCATCCATCCACCTGGTAACCGTGTAAACTACATTCCTTCGCAGTGCCATAGCTTTGCCGCGTCCTCTCACACCACAACAACAACAACAAAAAATCATAGTGGACAGGATGACATACACAAGACAAATAGTAAAAAAAGGCAAAGAAAGACCCTCACATCCCACCCACCCACTGTACTTTTTTCAAGTCTGACCCTTTTTTTTCTCTCTCTCTCTCTCTCATCGTCATGTTTCTCTTCTCCTCAGATCTGCTTCTGGTCTCTTATGAGGAAGATGAAGTCGAAGTGGAGCTGGCCTTTTTTTGGTTGATTAAGTCCACGTAGAGTTCTGAGCGCAGGAAGCGGGGGTATGAGTCCTTCTCCATCAGCCCGTATATCCGCCTCTGTGCTAGGTCAAAGCAGGAGCGAGTCACATTCTGCAGGTTGTCCTTCGTGTGATCTCTGGTGTACGAATCCAGATTTACCTGCAGAGGAAAACAATAAAACAAGTATAAGGCAAGTGCAACATTATACTGTTACTTTGACAAAATAGCAGGAGGAGGCTGTTTTCCCCCCAGTAGCCATGTGTTGTGTACACACTCACTCACCTCTTTACAAGACTGGATAGCGATGTATTCTGCAAAGATTTTCTTGGCTTTTGAGGCCATCTTAGATTGCGACTTGACCTTCTTGTATTCCTCACATGCGAGCCAGAATTCCAGATTCTCCTCGCTGAACTCTGTGCGCAGGAAAGCTCTGAACGCTGCCAGACCATCTGAGGGAAAGCAGACAGGAGGAGAATAAACAAGAGGAGAGTTGACTAGAGTGCCATGGCAACCTCACAGCAGAAGCGCTCCTTGAGAGTTTCAGCGCCTAAAATAGCTCCGTGACGGCCATTCGAGTCATGTGGTTGGAATAAAGTTAGACATGAAAAAACCCTAACAACACCGCAGCACATATTCAAGTCCTCAAAAATCCTTTTAGACATCACCCACCCTGCAGCATGACTAACTCTACATTCCCCTTTTACACATGCTGTGAATGAACAAAGAGGTGACTGTTTTAGTGTTAGGGGAAGAGGGCTAATTCTGAAACTTTGGGTTTTTTTTCTTCAGTTTCAGTCTAGTTAATGATTTGAGGAAGAAGGCATCCAGAAGAAAGAATAGCAGGAAGCCGTGTCCACCCACTTCTCCAGTCTGCACCTTTCCGTTCCCATGAATCACCCACGCTGATAAGCAGAGCCAATGCAGGCGGTCATCTCTTTCCTCATTCCGTTAGGCAGGAGTGAGGAAAGAGGTGGAAGACGGAGAGAAAGTAATAGGGGAGAATAAAGAGGCCAACGGAGTCGAATGAGGAGCAGATGTAGTGCTGGCTTTGTATCAGCTTTTAAAAAAGGATTGTGGTTGAATTGTGAAAAGATGACACAAAAATAGCTACACACTTGTAGGTTGCCTGTTTAAGTCTCCAGTCTTTACTGTGTAAAGCATGGACTCTGTCCGTTGGGATTAGGGAAACGTGATGCAAGCTGCCCGTTCACTGTGTGTGTAATCCATACATGCATACATCCTTTGCCCACCGCCCTCCCCCACCACCCCATGCAAGCACTGTATGTCTACATTCACACACTGCCAAGACAGTATTGCACTGAATCATATCGAACAAATTATCAAAAAAAACAAAAAGACAGATGATTTCAATGTCTGTAAAAGAGGGAGAACATGAGAGACAAAAGAGAGAAAAAAGGATTTAAAAGTAACTTACATTTGTGAGTCAGCAGCTTGTCAAGTGAGTCCCCCCATTTCAGTGCTTCTTCTGGGGTCGGCCTGCAGATAAAAGCAGAGCGATTCTTTAACAAGCCCATCTCAGTCAGGTTTCTCATTGTGTGACCCATCCGCAGATGGAAGTAGGTAATCCCTCTCTGTTGCTTCCTTCCACTCTAGGCTGTGTCTACTGTTCTTCCCCTCTCATTCGGTTCTGCTTTTGTGAGAGCTAACGACACTGAGAGCCATGAGTTTTTCTGCTCCAGTCTGGTGGGGGTAGGCTTTTATATTCCCACTGAATGCAAGTTGCAAGGCAGGAGGGGAGGGGCTCCGGTCGGCCAATGGGGATGTATCATCAGGTTTAGATACCTCCTCCACCCCCACCACCAGTGTCTGTCTGCCCCCTGCTGCCTCTCATTCTTCCTGTACCCTGTTGTAAAGCATGCCTCTTCACAGCTCTGATCTCACTGTAATCCACATCTGAGGCCTTATTTGACACAGTAAGAAAAAAGTTGCTGCAGAGTTTCAGGTACATTTTTAGTCAATTTGGACATTTGTCTGTGTCTTTTGATGATGGAATTAGTTTTATTTATTCTGACAAATCAACAAAAATAGCATTTGCTCGAACAATTTGTAATTTTGTTTCTCTAACTGTAACGTCTTCCAGAACATGTATGTACATGCGTGCGTGTGTGTGTGTGCGTGTGTGTGTGTGTGTGTTGAAGCAGCTGCTTGGCAAAGTGCACTACCAGGTTTAAAGTGTTATGATATGAGGGAAATGTAAATACAAAAATCTATGACATTGATAATTTAATGTAATTCAACAGAGGCCATTATTAATTATGGCTGCCTGGGACCAAATGTTAAGAATGTATAAAAAGTATACAGCATTTATTTAGCTTCCTGTGAAGTCATTTGCAATTGCTAAAGTAAGCGGCATGGAAATTATATTTAAAATTTAAAATAATATCCACTCTCCCTCCGTCAGATGTGACATAGTTACACAAAGATGCGCTCATGCCTTTTATTAATGCCACACATTACAAGCACACTCCTCTACATGCTGCTGCCCACACGTCCTCCAAAGGCCGGGTCATCACCAGTTGTGGCGAGACCCGGAACACAGTCTCACTCACACCCACATGCACATGCTGTCAGGAAGTGGCCACTTACTTGACTGACTTCATAGATTTCTCTAACTTGCCGGCTGGGTTGCTTCCTGGGGATTCATTCCTCCTCCGCAGGAAAGCCAGCCGATTCTTCATGTCTTTGGCCCTGGGTGAAGGGAAGAGTGAAAGAGGGAGAGAGTTGGCAAGAGAGAGAAGAGTGAAAGAAAGATTCATGAATACAGAAGGAGGGGGGACGCCGAGGCACGACAAGGGGGAAAATGGAATAAGGATGAAAGCAATGATAAAGTAGATAGCGGAGGTGGACAAAAACAGAAAAAGGAAGAAATTGTGTTGAGTCCAAGTCCAACGTCCACAATTAAAACAATCCAAGGCATGGGAATCACCAATTAAGTTCTTCAGCACTGTAAATCCACATGAAAATCAAACCCACAAAAGCCAGAAAAGATGAAAATACATGTCTTGTTGTGTACATTTTAGTCTTCAGCCAGGTATGTTGGTATGGTGGGACAGAGCTTTTCCAAAAGGCGGATCGCAAGCTCCCTTTCCTCGCTTCGTGTCAGTGTGTCGCCTGTCAATCTAATATCGCTAACAGTCTCTCCTATAGATGTGTCCCTGGCAGGTTCCTCGGCAGGGACTGAGTGAATGTGGCAGAGAAGGAGGAGAGAGACTCAATCCTCACTCCTCTGTTTCATCACGCCATTCTCCATGTGCCTAGAGGGGTTGCTGAGAGGGAGCTGACCCAGGACCGAGGTAACAGGGCACAGTGACCTCCTCACTCCTGTGCTTCCCTCCAGCAGCAGCATCCAAAATCCCCCTGACCGCCCACCTCACCTGTTTCACCTTCCTCTCACCATCTTACACACACACACACACACACACACCCCCAGCTGCACATGCGCCACCTTAAATCCCACACAAGGTGATACACCAATCCTCAGTCCCCATGGGATCCTTCAGAATCCTGCGCATTCCCATAATCCCATGGTGCGTGTCCTGGCTTTTCCCGACCTGGAGCACGTGCTGCCTCATTGGGATGTGACCTCACTCAACACCCATTTCCTGAGTCCCTGCTTTTGATTTCCACTGTGGATTGGCTGGCCCGCTAATAATGCAGCGAGGCAGTGTGCGCTCGCTGGCCCTAATCACTGCAGGCTGTGCCACTGCCAGCCGGCAGCCCCCAGGAGAGCATGTACACCCCAAATTAAGAAACAAGGCTTCCAGTTATAGACACTTATCGTTCACACATGCACACACAGGGGGGTTTGGAAGAACGCACAACTGCGGATTAGCACAAACACTGTACATGAACAAATACTAGAAAGGGGATGAAAGAACGCCCACACAGACATTTCAAAGAACCCCCCTGCGTCTGTGCCAACTCATGCCCACTTCACTGGTGCTTTCATGCCAGTCACAGGTGTTGGAAAACTCTCAGTCTCCACCAGTGTGTGCATGTGTGTGTGATGGGAAGTGGGAGGGAGCTAATTTATGCATGCGTAAAAGTGAGACAGTCACACAACGCGGCCGCCGAGCCGAACAGAGAACACAGTCAGCTGTCTGGTGTGAGTTTTTCCAACTGCCGCTGGACAGGAAAGGTAGAAACATGACCATAAACATGACACAGCATGACTGCATGAGCTGTTGGAAGCAGCCGCTGAATGGCTCCTTTAAAATCAGGATGAGTGTGACTTTTGTGGGTGTATTGATTCGGGTGTGTTTCGGGTTTGGGTTCAGTTGGTGCAGATTACTTTAGTCGACGCAGAGCGCCACAAGAGGCCTTTTTTGAAAGCATTTGTGAGGTTCAGGAGAGTGGAACTGCAAAATGGGTAACTAAGAAAATGAATGTAATACCAATAAATATAAAAAAGTAAAAGCATAAATGGTGTGGATATAGAAAAAGCTATGTGGAAGTTCTCTTTCTTATCACAGGCAAGGGAAAAACGGAAATTCAAAAAATTGATAACGAAACAGCAGAGAGATCGAAAGAGACTTAATTAATTCAAAATTAATTCCACATCTAATCCTATGTAATACCTAAACATCCACACAGCATCCCTGGTGGAGCGATAACTCATCCATTGATTGAAATAACATGAAGCTGGCTTGAACCAGATGCTGAACATAATTCAGGCCTCTCTTTCATCGGAAACAACAGGGTGCTCTAATGCTGCATCCCCCAGCCTGAAGGACATTATCACGCAAATAAAAACTACCTTGCTGTTAAATAAACTCGTAACATCAGAGCAGGATTCATTAGATTGTTCTATTTTTAGGTTGCACTCAAGGCAATTAGGTCTGTGCATGTGTTCGCTAAAAGTCTTTGTCTTGCCAGTGCATGTGAGGGAGAAAAGTATTTTATAAGGGCTGGGATATACTTTGTTGGCCTGGTAAAAGACGCTTTATGTCTGCTGAGCCTGTGTGGGTATGATGCGACAATGATGTCATAGAAATATTTTAAGAGAAATGTATGTTTCTATCCTGCCACCATGTGGGTGTCAATGGATATTGCAAACACAAACAGTTGATGTTTTCCACCCTCTAACAGCAGATTAATTACAGGGCTTTCTTCTCCACCCAATAGTTGGGGTCTGTCAAGACTGGAAACAACTTGAGCTTACATCATCCCATGTTTTATCTTATTTTCAGAAACTCAAATACAGCACTATTTTAAAAAAACAAGTGATCCATTTTACACGATACGTAGCTGCCTTTTTTAAAGCACTACACACTGGCAACACAGACTGCAGAGACACTTTTTTTTTGTAAGTCTGCATGTTAGCTGCAGGAGGTGTGAGACACTCAACTGATACATCCATAAATGAAACTGCCTGTGTGGTTATTAGCTCAATGGGAGTCAACAGAAACTCCAACTTCAAGGAGGGTCCAGATAATACTCCTCCTTCAATGTGGGCAGACACATCCGTCATCCTCCAGTGGTGTCTGTGTCCTCCAGACGGAGACATTTGCATTGTTATAGCACCAGAGATTTGCAATATCAGCTAAAAACAAAGGGGACACACTATTAGCATGTTGGGTAAAGCTTCCTCTGGTGAAACTCTAAATCCTTAATTTAGACTTAAAAAAAGAGATGAAGCCCTCCTCAAAACCACCAAGGCCAGAAACCACGGTTACAGATACTTCCTTAATATCGGAGATGAACAGTATTCTTGTCTTATTTCTCGAGCAAAGTCAAGGATACTGTACCCCGTGCTCTTTGCACTTGGTGCTTCTCATAGTCTCTCACTTTGAGCACCTCTGTATTTGAAGTTGATAGTAATACTTTACTGTCGGCTAATAGCTCCCCAGTACTAACACCATTAGAAATGTACTGCATCACACTCCATTTGATGTATCACATACAATGACCCCTGCACTTAACCTAACCTGCTCAAAGGCTGACACATGCTCTTTAAAGGATTATCAAATTAACATTATCTTTGATCGAACACGCTGCCACACAGAAATGTACGCTCCACTGCCCCGCGAACACACTTGTACAGCTTTCCCATGTTTGCAACGCGGGCATAACGCGTACACACGCCTGAGTGTCTGTTTGTGTCTGTTTAAGAGAGAGCGCTTTATGTGCTTGAGTGAAGGAGCGAGAGGTCTTTGGATCCGCAATTACCCGCAGGTTTCCGTGCTCCTTATTCCCTCTTTGCTTGGCTCACATTAGACGCACTAATAGCACCCTGCTGGCTATTCCTGGTGTTCTGAAAAGTAGGCCGCACTCCCAGGGAAAGGCTCTGGGAGCACATGGTCGAGAGCCGCAGACAGACACACTGCAGATCACAATGTACCGTGCAAGCACAAGCCAAAATCCACTGCTCCACTTCATCCCACTTTTGTTGTTTGCTCCATGAGGCTTAGCTCCCCACAATGATAGAAGTCCACCCTTTTGTGAAGCCTGACCTGTGAGATTTGGGGTACAGCGATGAGCTCAATAGAGCAACTGAAATACAGATGGTGAGAGCAGCAGTGCAAGGTTCAAGCATGTTTTCATTCCCTCTGCCACTTTCTATTTACAGAAGGCTGTGTGCCATTGAAGTGAATACTAGACAAGCCACACAAACAGCACTGTGGCTCTGTTTGTGCATCTGTGTCTGTGCGAGTATAACGGGTCAAGGGTTGTGTCAGTGTGTCTGCTACATTTCTAATAACATTTATACTGTTTGGGCTCTGTCTACAAAGATACGGGAACGAACTGTGAGTGTTTCTGCTGTACTTTCTTTATAGACAAAACAGTCCAGAGATGTGACGAATCCAAAAGCAATAGGCACATACAGGAACTCGTAAGAAAGAGAAAGGATCATCTATAAGGTTCCCTTATAACATCGAGAAAAGTCACTCCGCCATATTCCTAGAAGAACAACGAAAAAGGGAATTGTCCTAAATTCCGTCCATAAATATGATCTCATTCACAGTCTCGCTCAATCGAGACCAAAAAAGAGCTCTATTTCTGAGCTAACTCACCTTCCTACCCACACAGACCACATGAGCGATCCTATTCCTGAAATCCAGGCTGCGTATAATAAGAAAAAGGGGCAGCCTCAAGTTAGAGCTTAATGCTGCTTCCTCCAAAATAGTTTGAGCGCTTCAGCCTCTCGGGGGTTTCTTCTCCCTCCCTGCGACTGTCAAATGAGATCCATGTAGAGGTCAAATAGCTTCCTACCGCTTGAGAGCATTGATTCCTGTGGGGGCCAAAACAGCCCCCATCCACGCTTTGCTTACCCTGCCTTCTGATTCTAATTCTTGATAATCAAAGTGCAGATCAAACACACACACACATCCACCGCCTTGCTCTTACCTTTCCAGGTACTTCTCTGAGAAATCAACCATAGTGGGAAACATGGGTGCCAGCCTGTACGCAGGTTCACTTGTTGGGTGCAGAAATTAGACTGCATGTAAGCGTGTGTCAGGAGTGCCGGGTGCTCGGGGCCCAGGGGTTTTGTTTGACAATCACATTCCTCTAACCTCTGAGAGGATGTGGTGGAGCTTTATATAGTCTGGGGGGGGTCTGGGGAAGGCGGACCCTGGGCTCACCCAATCACCACGCAGTGTTTAGAGAGGACAGATTCCTTCCTCTGGGGCCTGGGTGTTTTTTCTTGTAGTTTTATGGGTTAGTAAGTGGAGATGACATTTGTCTTTTTGCCAAAACAAGTGACTTGACTACTGTAATGATCTGTTCATCTGTCCCAGATGACAAGCAGTGGTAGAGCTCTGTTTATGTGTGCTTCATTTAACAGATTAGTTTAAAGAAAAACTTAAAATGGACGAACTTGAAAAAATATAAAATAAAAGGAAATAGTTTTTGACAAGCAAGAAGAATGTGTGAAATGAATTCCAACAATGTTTCTAGGAGTGCAATGCTTAATGGCTGGAGCACTCTTTTAAAGTACTACATTGCTTGATCATATACAATAAATGTGTTAAGCATTGCAGTGGTGCTCCTGATGCTCTGATTATAAATCAGGTATTTTTTCATTAGGTGATGAGACCTTCCAGTTTCAGGAAGTCTTTGATTTAGTACCTGTTGATGTCTATGAATAACATAAGAACTTTAATTGGTTCTCAACATTGATTGTACAACAAGGTCGGTGCACATCGTGTCTAACTGCAAAACTAACACTCATATTGGTCAACTTTCACAGCACACAAAAGGGGCCTTACATGCACCAACTGGCAGCAAACTATTGTGTTTTAATCAATTATTTGCTTGGGAACTGCTACTTATTGTATATATATTAACTGCTTAACTGTTGTATATAGATCTATATACGTATATATATATATAAGCAAATACAGGAAGCTGCAGATTCCTCATTTTATTTGGACTTCAGTATTGTTTTTTTGCGTGTCAATATATATACATATATATATATACACATACGTATACACAGATGGTAGTATCTTGTGTAATAAACACCTCACAGGCACTCAGTGTTGTGCTACGTTCTTCTCTGCCCTCTCAATCTGTCCATATTTCCAGCCTTTGTGACTCAAGTATTAATTAATCAGTATTAATCACTGAAGTATTGGTATCCCTGTAACCTTAAAATAATCTGTCAACAATTTACATTTCTGCATGTTCCGCTGGTGCACTTGCTGATTGGCTATGGGTTTATGGCTTTATTGCTACTTGTGGAAAACTACCAGATGGGGAAAAAGGAATATAATGTTGCAGGGAGGCATTGCTTGGGGAAGCAGAACACCTGGACTGAGTAAAAACAAAAGATGAAAATATAGTGGGGAGAGGCAGAGATAATGTAGACAATTTCAGGAAAACAGCTGTGCTAGACCCACAGGAAGTAAAATGTGCAAAAAGGGGAGAAGAATGGAGTAGGAAGTGAAAAAATGTGGAAGCGTAAAGGGGGAAAGAAGTAGAGCAGGAGAGTGGTGAACAGACTGGTGTCTTTGTTTTTGTAAATGATGCATGAGAGGCAGAGTGCTTCATGAGGAGAGAGGAAGTTAACAGATGTTATGTGCTCTTACATGTAGGTTTCGCCTCGATGTGAAAAATGCAATCAATTTTCTTCTGCTAGGGATATTTACATTGCGTACTGTGATATGTTTCGTTCAATCTTCCTGTCACAAATTATGATTATGGTGATTACATGAAGAAGAAGAGTGTTTACAGCGATGCTACCACTAATTGCCAAACTTAGACCACTCCACAAGTGTGAGATGGGAACATTCCAAGACACAGCACACAATGTACACAGCAGGAGAGACACTGAGAGGAGAGGAAATCAATGTAGTGCTATTACGGGATCCCCATCTCTAACAATCACATTGGCCAAAGGTCAAAGTACCTTTTCTAAGCTATAAATTGCTACATCTCTGCATGATTTGATCATATCAGATACTGTTGGCCTCTGGTGTCCATATACTTGCTCCATTGGCTCTGTTTATATGCTATAAATCAGTCTCCAACATCTGGAGGAAAACATTTCATTTCCTTCACGCTTGGTTATATAGAAAGTCTGAAATGTCTATTTATAGCAGAAACATATTGTGTTTGTATTCCACAGAAACATATTGTATTGAGGCTATGTTTAGTGGTGTGACTTAATATTGTTGAGTAGAGTATTGGTTTACAGTGTGGCATAATGAAAAATGGTGGAAAATGGGTCAAATACTGCAAGATGAAAGAATCTTCATGAGAGATAGCAGGCTCGTGACATTGAGAATATTTTATGGAAACAGAGGCTGTAAACAACAGAAGCCTGAAGACAAGTGGGTGCTCATAAAGATTTGTGACGTATCCTTGTGCTATTAACCAATGATGATGACAGAAAAGGGTTGCAATCAATGAATGGAAATCATTTTTCTCTACATGACACAGACCTTTTTGTCTACACAGCCTTCATCAGTGTCACAACAACACAGTACAGATGCCTCTTAAATAGCAAAACACACAGGTGAGACCATTTAAGGTAATTAGCACCGCACCTGGCAAGGCAATCAGTTATTGACATTGCAACCTATCAACATCTTGCAATGGGACAAGGACAAAGATAGACTGGTCCACTATAAAAAGCAGAGTTTACCAGACGTATTTATAAAATGTGCCTCAAATACAGGTATGTAAATGAAGAAGCATCAGAGTGTCAACAGAGAGCTTTCTTAGATCTAGCTTAAATACCTCATCCAACATCAAAATAGAAGACTAAATATATTTGAGAGTGTGTAACATAAGATGAGCTAACGTCATGATTCATGTTTGTTTACCTATGAGCAAATCCCTGTTGTGGTCATGACTCAAATTGTCAGGTACACATTACACAGAGTCATTACTACCTCAATCAATGCTGTTTACTATTAAATGACTGTGTTATTAATGCAAACAAAGCTGGTCTGAAGCTGTTTTTGCAGCAGCTGACAGAAAGGCAAAATACTCTGGACTCAGGAAAAAGGCTGCGGAATCTTAATCACTTAATCTACTGGTTAGCTAAACACCATAAAAACGCAGCTTGTGCAGAAGAATGGGCCGCTATCAGGCCCAAGGACAGCCTCTCACGGCGTGAAATGGGCTTTCATCCTGATGAACAGGAGCGTGAATAAGGCTCATTGAACAGCTGATGAATCACTGAGGCGTGGACGCGCACACTCCAATGACACGCTCTTCCCTCTCAACACACACCTTACTTCTCACACCGCTGAGAACGTGAGACACGCATATGGCACTACACTCATCAGCGGCACACACATCATTTGCCACTTAATTAAGTTGATGATGATTAGCTTTCACAGCTACCTTAAGCCTAAAACATGCTTCTGCATGTTGCAGCTCTGTGAACTTGTGCAGGTATTGCTCTGACTGTCATTATGGGAAATATGTTTGAATGCACCATTAAAGAAAAAAAGAAGACCTCTTTTCAATCCCCTGAAATTGATATTGATTAAATTACCCTAAATAGAGAGGAAATGGCAAGGTTTTGAATGTAGCCATCATGGCTTGGATATGTCCTGACATCCTCAGTCCACTAATCCAATCACACCCATGCTAACACTCATCAGAATACGTCCAGATGTCTCAATTAGCCCCCACATGTGCTGAGACAGGTCATTAACATTCACCATTAGCTTGGACAAGAGTAAAAGACATCCTTTTGAAATAATGGCTGTTAAAGCAGGTGTGAAATCTTTACCCTTTCACTGGATACACATGTTTGTAATTAGCATGAAAATAAAGGTCTGTGACTGAGCATTGAAAGGAGAAGTGGTGAATGCTTTTGTAGTTGTCAGGACTATGAAGGATTGATCTATTGTGCTGCTTCTCAGTCACTCTCTTTCCTCCTCTTTCTCACACATAAATAATGAATTCTCTTTTTATTCTAAAACCTAAAAGGCAAAGCATTGTATTCCTAAAAATGATTTAACATTGTTACAGGTTAGAATCCACATTCAGGAGGGGGTAAAAAACATGCCATTTCTTTTCCCAAAATGAGCAGACGGTGAAAATGAAAGTAACCGCAGACAGGAAACACCCAAAAACTGATTAATGTATGTACTTACAGGTTCTTGGATTTCTTCTTCTTTGTTCCTTCAGGGCTGACCTCACAGCTACAAGGGGATCCGGCGCTCAGCTGAGGGAAGACGAAGGAGAGCACACACTGCATCATCCACCCTTCACACAGAAAGAGGGCCCTGTAGCCTCATGCAGATACTAGAGCTAGCTTCAGCTACCTCCAACAGGCAATGGCCAGCTAAGTTGGCTAATACTGAAAGCTAGTGAGTCCTCAGTGTGTCCCGTTAGGCTACACCGAGTCTAGTCCAAGTCCATAGCACACACACACACACACACAGCCAGCAAAATGATTAATCCATAGCAGCAGTCCACAGTGTAACTCCCACAAGGCCACGCTCTCAGAGGTGTGTGTTGCTGAATACAACTGACTGTGTGTATGCAGCAGATGGTGTTTGTAAACAGGGTTTAACGAAGTACGGAAAATCTGTGGGAGTGAGAGAGTGTGAAAGACTACGGCTGTTGTTTCTGCTGGTCTCCAACTGTGCCCTAGGTTTGAAGTGTTGAGCCAAGACCCCCGGTTTCACATTACACTTTCTGCCAACCCACCATTTTGATTGGTTCAGAGTAAAAGAGAAGTGGCTGCAGGGTGGGGAAAGGGTCAATCTCCACTAATCTGATGGCCTGAAGCTGCCCCATTGTATGTGTGTGTGGCTCTAAATAATGAGCTATTGTATTACAGGAACACCCAGTTAAATCTGAGCTAGATACTGGCCACAGTTGGTAACGCATGGTGTAATGTTCTCTATCTTTGTGGGACCCGAGTTTCAACCTTCACAGTGAGGACATTTTGGAAAATTTAGGACATTTTTGGGCTGTCCTTCACTTCTACAAGGTTTTGTTTTGAGATTAGAGTGACACTCTATCCGAAAACACTCACGCCCTGCAGGCTTTAAAGGCGGCTGTAACGTTTGTAGGTTTCCAAATTGAGAGACAACAACAGCTTGAATTCAGTTATAATGGATTCCAAGTATCTCTAAAAAAACTCTCAAACCCCAAAGGTCCCAACTTAGTGACTTAACAAACCATATTTACTTTCTTCACATGTTTCTAAACACGTTTTACCATTGGCATCCATTGTAGGTGCTTGACTTCAGGCTGACCACAGCTGTTGTTCAGGAAGCGACAAACTTTTTACAGAAATCTGAGTATTGAGTCAAAAGACAAGATTTTGTGTAAGTACCTCTTTTCAAGAAACAGCTTGACATTTTGGGAAATAAGCATGTTTGCTTTCTTGCTGAGAGTTAGACGAGAAAATACCAGGGCAGCTTTTCCAGTCTTAATGCTAAGCTATGCTAATCATACCCTGGCTGTAGCTTCATATTCATCAGACACATATGAGGAGTATCAATCTTCTCAGCTAACTCTCAGCAACAACATTAAGTAAACACACTTCCCAATATGTCAAACCAGTCCTTTAAGGTGAAAATACTTAGGAAAAATGAAGGCTTGTCATGTTCTGTTAAGTTATGATTAGAGGCTAAAAATGCATCACATCAATGTGGGTCCTCACTAATATAATAATACAAACATATGCAGGTGCATTTGTTTGTGAATGCCTTGTGAATGCCTTTGTGTGCCCAATCGTGCATGAATACAGTGAAAATGTGCACGTTGTGTTTGTGAGACTATTATTGTATGTAAACAATAACGCTTAGGCCGCATGAGCAAACATATCCTGTATTACGCATCCATCTATGTTGAGCCACCCTATACATGAAGCAGCTGCACAAAGTAATATCCTGTTGTGCATTTGCATTGTTGTCGGACCTGGTTAGTGATGAAATTGATCGATGAGACACGAATTATAAAACATTGATTCTGTCATGGCTTTCTGTCATAGCTATCAATCATTCGCTCAATTTAATTTTGCTTTTGCATAAAATATCAACCGTGATAATGACCCTGCTTCACCTGGTACCAACCGATTCATTTCAATTCAATTCAATTTATTTTGTCAAAAATCGGTACAGGAAAAACCTTTAACTGGGAGGAAAAAGAAGAAACCTCAGGGAGAGCAACAGAGGAGGGCTCCCTCTGCCAGGATGGACAGAAGTACACATTCAATGCATATGATATAAATAATTCATATAATGAGAGTATGACTACTAATAATAACAGCAGCAGTGGATTTAATAGTATGCCGATGCACCCTGCGCTTTCTGACAGAAGTCACAGTTGACTGTGAAAGGTGAATGAGTTTGTTATGTAGCTGTCTAAAGATAAGTACAAGCTAAGAGCAGAAACAATATATTATTAGAGCTGCTGTTTGGTGGATGATAAGACACGTTAAAATGTATTGTATAGTGTGTGTGTGTGTGTTTGCAACAGGTAGAAGCATTAAGTCACTCACTCGCTAGAATAGCCTTGCACTTTATCTCTTCAAATGTTATCAAATTTAAAATCTATTATAAAATCAATTATATTTGATATACATCCTCCATCTGTAGAAGTAACCAAATGACTCTTCCAAAAACAGCCACAAACACAGGTCATATTAGCTTGCATGAGCAGGGATTAAGTCATTGATGGTCATGAGAGACACACAAATCGAATTATTAATCTTGATGGGAACCGCACAACAGGGTCCCAGCCCCTATGGAGCCATCAGCCAGGCCTTTTTACCCTGAAACCACAAAGAACAGACTTTTGCCCTCTCCAGAGACGTTTGTCCCGATGTAGCCCTCAGGACAGGATTATTCAGGGGTATCAGCAGAAGAAATGATGCTGTGTGGCCATTGGACATCAGAGGTGGATCGTCTGCTTGTTGGGTCAGCCTTTGCTCGACTAGCTGCCTGCATGTGAGGAATGGATGCTCATTCACACCAGAATGCTATACGTTCCAGCTGGACGAGATCCACACACACACACATACACACACAGTGAAATGTGTCTGCTTTCTTGCTACAACTAGTATTAGTAAGTGGCCAATTGGGTACATTCTTAGAATCATAATGTAAAGCAGGCAATGTTTGAATGCACTAACACAGACCCATTACTGACCACATCTGCAGAGGTAAGAACAACGTGGATGGCATCCAAGCTAGAGGAGTGAAGAAAGCTGTGGTCAATATTGATCATACAATTTAATATTTTCTGCTACCTGAAGGACATATGAAAGGCATTTACTTTAGTCCTATCTCTCAGTCACGCATGCACACAAACACACACACACATACGCACACGCACACGCAGACTGCCTGGCAATAACCTGTGGAGCATAAGTCTTTTCTAAAAATAGCCCTAGCGTACGTTTGTTTGTGTGTGTGTGCATGCTCATGTGTATAGACTCCTCACACGCCTCACTGAAGACAGTTAAGAAAACACGGAATCTGCCAAAGACCACACGACATTATAGCCCCCCGAGACATGGGGTGCAGATGTTGACACATCATTAAGGGTTGTGGGATGGCTGTGCAGATGCATGTGTGTTGCACATGTGTCTTTGTAGGCATTCCTACGGTATGTGTGCACGTGTGAAGGAAAACATATGGGCAAACACGTTTCTGGCAATGCTAAAGTAAGTTAAAAAATGTTCATATGCACATGACCTGGTAACACGACTGTTTAGCCAAAGCCAACGGAGAATAGTGTGTGAGGTTGTGAGAGAAGTTTGGAACACCAACGGACTGCTATTCTCCAATAAGACAAGGACAATTTGCCCGTCTTTGTCTCAACAAACTGTACATTCTTCAGTTGTGCTCAGTTGTGCTCTGCACTAACAAACACATTGTAGGAACAATATTCTAAACACAGCTCTGAAACATTCTTGACCCCGACTCCAAATCCTCCAACAACATCAAACCCCAGAGGTGAAGAAATGAATCCTGGCCTTTGTGTGTTTAAACTTCGTCTCACCAGTTCAACCCTGGCTGCATTTCTTCATCAGACCTCCCTCGGGCCGCTTCCTTCATTCTCATTCCCCCGTTTCTTCTCTTATTTGAAAACAAATTGACACGCTGGCGTCTGAACAATGTTTTGGGGACTGCAGACAATCTCCCATTTTGTTTAGTTCAGCCTTGGATTGGTGCGAAATGTTAGACTGTAGTTTCCTGACATTGTGTGGCTCTACTACTCTACTACTGTGTGTGTGTGTGTGTGTGTGTGTGTGTGTGTGTGTGTGTATGTTTCATACTTATTTTGCACTGACACAGTAACGTCATTCAACCTGGCATCATGACCCTGCTCCTGACCCGAATTAAAGCAGCTCTGATGCTGATAAGCTTTGATTTGAATATTATTTAATAATATTTGAATATTATTTAATAATATTTGAATATGATTAGCCTGTTGTAACCCTAACCCATAAAGTCTGCACATCTCAGCCTCAATGGATGTTTGCAAAATGCTGAATACAAAGCAGTTGCATTTACTTTTGATAAGGTTCACAGCAGTCTTAACCAAAGTGGCATGTTTATCAAGACATGGAACCCATAAAATGCTCAAGGAAGAAATAAATCCAATGATTGTCTCCATGTGACTTCTCAAACCAGACTGCAACATTTTAATTCACTGGATGCATCCGCTATTTGGTATGCAGACAATGTCGGTCGTAATGTATTTGGTTATCTTGAATCCTACTTGCACATTCATATGTAGTCACCAGAGCCATGAATCATTTAAAAATATTTTATATTTCAGATTTTTTCACATCATTTAATTCCTGCCTTCTGTTCACCCTCAACCTCCTTCTCCATCTTCAATGATCTGACAGTGAGTAATATACAAACAGTAGATTAGTCTGGCATGGGATGAGATGTGAATCACAGTCAGTTATCACTCGCTGTTTTGTGCCTGAGTGTGAGGCTCATGTTAACAACTTATTAGGCTGCAGCATCCAACATAGCAGATTGTTTTATAGAACAGATAAAATAATTGAGGTGAATCAGTTTGAAGTGTTTAATGTTTCTCAGACGACGAAGTCAGTCCTCTCTGGCCCAAAACTGGCCCCAAAATACTCAAGAGTGACACATTTGGGTATGAGCGGGTATGAACATTTCATGAGATTTTTTTCACCAATGATTCAGGAGACCCGCAGAGCTGTCTGAAAAATACATCTGC